ATTAGTCCATCCCGACCTTACCCCCACTCACCAAATTTCGAAGCCAAGTCGATGGCGCAGCCGAGGACTGTCGAAAGCATCGGAGTAGCAGGAGGCTGTGCGGGGATTCAACAACTTTCGACAGGAGGTGTCAAGAAGCATTCTCTGACAACTGGCCAATTTTATTCCGGTCTCCGACTTTTTTTTTTAACTTGATTCCATTATAAAGCAAGAGGGGGCCGGGGACCTCACAATTCAACCCGGGGCTAGGTCCCACTAGCACGAATTAAGAGATACTGACCGTAGATAACAAAGATCAACGGCCGAAATCTCCTAATTTGCGCAAGTGGGACCTTGCCCCCGGAGTATCTGGCAGCATCAGCCAGCTTAGCTTACAGGCAAAGGCCGGCGAGTTACACCCAAGGCAAAAACTCAGGTACACTTGAATCAAATCTTCAGAGGGAGGAGGATTAAACTGGGAACAGTTCGGGCCCCAATGGGCCTCTGTACCGATACCTCACCTCCGAGTACAAATACAAACAACGTCTCCAAGACCTGCAAAGCCACGCAAACCAACAAACTTAACCTATAGGCTACCGAAGTTCCTACCCCCTACTCTAGTATGCTACCTAAATTCCTACCACTACTTGCACTGTCACCTAACTCGGTGGCTGGATCGACTGATCCCCTTTACTTGACGCTCCCTCCATCCTGCATTGCCCCCTCTGCCTGTCTCCCGTGACCCTTCCAACCCTCAAAACACCGAGCAGTCCAGGTGTTCCTCTTTCTCTCTAGCCTCTCATAAACCACTCATCCAAAACTACTTTTCCTACTTCCACTCTGGCCAACTTTCCCTGTTTGCACCAGGTTTCCTTCGACAGCCTGTGCGGCGAAGAGAAACTGTCGAAAATAGCATTTTCTACAGTGGTGTGGCGAGGCCCTAAAGACCTGTTGTTGATTTTTGTGGGGTCTATGGCATCGTGTTTTTTTTTTTAATCACAAAGATGTGTATTTCCAAAATAATAAACCTGAGGTAGCTATGCTTGCAGGGGTCCCCTCTATATAGCCTTAGGAGTAGTGGTAGGGACAGTGTGAAAGGCAAAAATTGAATTTGAGAGAATACTAAAGCGTAGTTAAATATATATGAGTCCGTGACACTCCGGCAAAACAGTTTGTCACAGCCCCTCGTTTGTTCTCCTCTTCTCCCTCTCTGCCTTCGGTTTACCGGGCAAACTATGTTTGAGGATATATATTAAAAAAAACAGCTTGAGGCAGGTGTCCCCACAGCCTACCCTGAGAAAAATAATGGCACCCCACAGTCTACCAGGAGAAAAATAATGGCATCCTTTCTTTTCTTTTTTTCTTTTTTTTTATCTTTTTTTTTTTTTTTTTTTTTCTGACCATTTCTCGATTTATGCGTGTCATCCTTGCGCCATGCAAATCTTCTCTGTATCGTTCCAATTTTAACGGATGTCCCGAAGGATGCATCCTTTCTTGCGGCAACTACAGGAATTTTACAAAATGATTTTTCTGGGGGGATAATTTGCAAAATACCCCCAGAAGTTGAGCTATTATGCAAAAATGCCTCTAAAAGGTGTGGGTACAGCGGCCTGCATCTACCTACAATAAACAAAACAGCTTTGAATCTGCCTAAATCTACCTACAACAGACAAAACAGCTATGAATCTGCCCACCTTGACAAGAAAAAAATATGATCTGCATCTGGGACGGGTGGGTGGCTTTCGATGCCAATGCCAGCATATGACCACATTCCCACATACATTCACACTGAGAAACATGCATAAG